AAATATGAAAAAAAATCAGAAAAAACAAAAAAACACCAAAAATAAGAAAATAAAATTTTCTGAAAAATGTTTTTGAAAAACAAAAAACAAACCAAGTGTACTGTGTTCCAACAGCGTTCATATACAGCATATAACAGTCCTTCGCTGTAAATAAATTTGCAAAAATGTTTATGAGTATTAAAAGTAGAGCTCTACTTATGTGGCAATGGACTCCACTCATAAATGATTTGATGTGTGTATCTTGTTTTTTTTGTTTTGCTTCATGTCATATCATTAGTGCCATTGTTAGAGTTCTAAATTTAGAACTATGAATCATTGCTCGTGAAATTGATATAACCCAGCGAGCCATGATCATCTATCAAAGTCCAGGCTTTATCGCTAATGAAGGCCAAGTGAAAAGTACCGTAGATAATGATAACTGCATAATCATGAGACACAGTAAGGTTAGCTGATAGTATAGCCTTACTAATATAATTCTCTATTTTTGGGTCTCTTGGGGGCACAATGATTGCAGGGAGATGGATGGCACCACCAAGGATCCTCTAGAGTGAAATTTTCCTAAAGTTTCTTAGAGTGCTCCATTGTGTGTGTAAAAATATATTGATGTATATTATTGATTGATGTATTACAAGATTGTTGTGTATTGATTTGTATGTTACAAGCTATTATATAGGAGAGGTGTGAGGTAAGTGAGTGGTGGTAGTGGATGGTAGTGGAGGTAGTGGGTGGTAGTGGAGATGGTAAGTGTGTTAGGTTTAGTGGGGTGGATGTAGTGGGTTAGGTTAGTGGGTTAGGTTTAGTGTACATTAACAGTGTGGTTGAGATTTACTGGCAAGTCATATCAGAAAAATTGATGTGACTTGCCAGTAAATCTCAACTACACAATATAACACTTTAGAAAATTTTAAAAAAAAATTACTCTAGAGGATCCTTGGATGGCACCGCCCTTGCCATTTGAAAAGGGTTAAACAGGTTATGATGAGACTATCATCGTTCGATATTATCAACCAACCGTGGGATGAACCGTAACCGCGGTTTTTTTTATTGCCATTAATGTTAGTCACGATAAACTTCATGTCCAACACCTTTTTGTTGGTGATAGAGTAAAAATTGCGAGTCGTGTGGTTTGAATCTTCTTCTTCTTGTTGTTGTGGAGAAGGGGATACCAGAAGTAGTGGAAGTTGATTAAGGAGATTGGAGGGGTGATTGGGGAGGTTGTGGTGGTCGAGGGCTGTGCGATGCTATGGCTTGCAAACTGCGGTGAAGGAAGTGTAGTCGGAGAGGGTGAGCAACTTGCTCAAAATCTGATCCAGAAAGTTGTTTGGAAACCATGCCCATTCTGATCTTGTTGTGGTTTTTTTTTCTTTCTTTCTATCTGGGTTAGAAGAAGCCATGAACTGGAAACTTCAAGCTAAACTTTACATTCTGTTTAGATAGTGAGGGGGAGATGAGAAAAAGTTTGTGGTTTGTCACCTGAAAACAAAAGAAATTATTATGATTTTTTATCATTACATTTGGATGAATAAAAAATAACACAATGTGATTTCTCATCTATATTATTTAGATAGAGTAAATAAGAGAAAAGAAACGGAAGTGTTGTATTTTAATTTACCAAAATAACTCTCCATATTAATAAATTATGTTTTTTCATAAAAGTAATTTTGGTATTTCAAATTTTTTTTCATTAATTCCTTTATCATCAAATCTCACCACTTTTGATGAGAAACAAAACGTAGGTTTGATAAGAATTCTTTTATCACTATTTCTTACCATTTCTCATCATTTCTCACATACCTTCGTTTGGGAAGCCATAGTTGGGGCTTTTTTGGCTATTTTAGCCACAAAAAACAAAATAGGCTATTTTAGCCATAACAAACAAAACATCACATCCAACTCATAATCATTACATTCTTCTCTCACAAAAAAACTCAAAAAAGTCAAAAAGCCAAAAAGCCCTTCCCAAACCAAGCTTTTAAGCCCAGGCTAAAATAGCCAAAAAAGCCAAAAAGCCAAAAAGCCAACCCACTTCCCAAACGGAGGCTTAATTATCTAAAAAAGTAGAAGAATTTCTTGTTCTCACCATTTTTTTTATTTTTCTTTTTTCACCAAATCTTTTTTTTCAAACAGAGTGTCATTGGAGGATGAAGTAAAACAAGAGGAATATATAGGGTTTAATAGGGGTTTATATAATTAGCTTTTCATGCAATTTAGGTAAGAGCAAAAAACAGGACCCGCATGGCCACATGCCTTTTTTATTTATTTATTTTTTTATAATTATAATTGTTTTGTTTTTATCTACAACATTTTAAAATAAGGCCAAGTTTGGCTAACCTAAAAAAGTGTACTTACTTCATCTTTTTATTTTTTTTGGATCACATCAATCAACATCTCTTCTCTACTTTTTTTACGCATAATATAAAAAAAATATAAAAACACACTTATTTAGTGTTTCCAAAACTGACACTTTACCAACTTGGTGAACTGATATGACTTCCAGGTTTCAACTATGCTCTTGTGGCTACATGCCCAGGCACAACGCAACACCTATGGGCTATGGGTGTTATTTACACCAAATCATCTCATTATTATTTTTTAATTATAATTTTACCTCTTTCTAAAATATTTAAAAATTATTATTTTAATTAATTTTTTTTGGTTACGATATTGAAAATACTATTTATTTTTAAAAACAAATTTGATTGAATCATTTAATTATCAATACCAAAAAAATATATATATATATTTTTTTGTGTGAATAATTTATTTGACATGCCTTACAAATAAATGATTTTGATTACCGAGTTGAGCCTAAGGTTCCCTCGATTAGACCATCCAATCTAATTAATGAATTGAAGAAGAGCCTCATTCTTTCAACATGTATGTGGAGTTTGTTAAAGAAACAAATAGTAATTTTAGATATTAAAAAAAAAAATCTAACATTTTATTACAAAATATAATGTGATTTAAATTTATTCCATGTTCAAATCCTATCCCTCCAGAGTCGAATTAGGATCCTGTAATTTATTTTTGTGGTAATTACAAAAAAACACCTCAGCAATTTGATTTTTATAATAAAATAAATTTTGATTTTTTAATTTTATCAATTTAAATCATAATCTTTTGAGTCGTTTTCAATTTAAACCATAAATTTATATTTGTTAAGTAAAACTGGCGAAACCATTTTTGTTGACTTTAATGGCTAATGTATCATTTTTTCATTCACTTTACTTAATGAAAATAGTAAAATCGTTTAAATTGATAACAAATAAAAAATTTAGAATTCAAATTAACAAAATGAAAATTTTAATATTTATTTTATTATAAAGGTTAAATCTTGAGATTTTTTTTTTAATTGATCCTATATTTTTTTTTTGCTAACTTTTAATGTATTTTTTTTAAAGGGACAACTTCTTTCCTGTTGGTGATCCAATTAGCGATGGGAGCTAGGCTTGGTGGGTCGATTTTGGACCTCACCTTGATAATTCAAATAATTTATTTACTAATTACATTATTAGAAAAGTAAATCATGTAAAGTTTTTAAATTTGATCGGATTACACATTTAGATTAAATTTATTTTATAAAATTAAAAGAAAAATATGATTTTAAAAATAGATTATCTATTTATTTTTTTAAAAAACTATAATTATTATTTAATTATTAATATTTAACCAATTTGATCTTTACAATACTTTTCTAGACGAATCCTAAAAATAGCAGTTTAAAACATTCTGAAATACACCTATGAGCCTAGCAAGAAGTGTCCAATCCAGTTGGATCACCTACTACATACCAACTCAATCTCTCTTTCTTAAATAAGATCCGGACAGTCTTCAGTTTGAAATTGGAGTCTAGTTGGTTCATTGGGGCTACTTTTATACTCTCTCCGACCCAAAATATTAGTCCCTTATTCCATTTTTCATTGTCCCAAAATATTAGTCTCTCTTTATAAATCAAGTACAAAAATAATGTAAATTTCCTATTTTGTCCTTCTTTTAAATTAATTTAAAAAACTATAATTATTATTTAATTATTAATATTTAACCAATTTGATCTTTACAATACTTTTCTGGACGAATCCTAAAAATAGCAGTTTAAAACATTCTGAAATACACCTATGAGCCTAGCAAGAAGTGTCCAATCCAGTTGGATCACCTATTACATACCAACTCAATCTCTCTTTCTTAAATAAGATCCGGACAGTCTTCAGTTTGAAATTGGAGTCTAGTTGGTTCATTGGGGCTACTTTTATATATTGTTTTGAGAATCTGAATTATTTATATTTTATAATTTGTTAAATATATTATTTTTGTAAAAAATTAAATTGATCGGATAACAAAAATTATGTGTTTAAATTAATTTTGTATGAACTATTTATTTTTTACTGTCTATTTTTTTCTACAAAATTAATCCGAATATATGGTTGCTGTTAATTTTTTATAAGGATGATATATTCAACGAATTTTAAAATATAAAAAATTTAAATTATTAAAATATAATTAAGAAGTGAGTCTAATGAACAGATCCATTGTTACTACTGGGCGTGAAGCACAACAGTGGCTGTTGTACAACCTGTGAGACTCATTTTGAGCCCTATATTGATGAGCCAAATTGTTCAAATTTTAAGAAATATCGAAAACATTATACTTATAAAGAATTAAGTTGATCGAATATTAATAATCTCTTCATCAAATAATATTTATATTTAGTTTGATACATACATATTTATTTTTTTTATATAAAGATATGATTTAATGAAAATGTTATTAATATCCGATCAACTTGAATTTTTATAAATATATTAGTTTTGATATTTGCTAAAATTTGACAATTCAAATCACCAAAATAAAACCTAAAATGAGTCCCATAAGTTACATAACAGTCACTGTTACGTTCCTTGCACGTCAGTGACACTGAATCCCCAATGAACCGAATAACACCTCCTCAGTCCAATTTGGGATTGAGAAGCCTGTCCCGTTTAAATACTAGAATTGTCAACCAAAGTACCGAACCAAGTAGAAATTAAGGGTGTTTTGACTTCGTACAAATATTGATAAATGCATCATATCTACCCATAAGACGAAACCCTCTCATCAGAGTCTGACCGGAGATGAAGATCTCCTCCGTCATGGTTCACCACTCTCCCACCACCACCGCCACCACCACCGACGAGTCATCGAAACATTTTATGAAGAAACGAATGCTTGATTTTACTATGCTCTCATTTTTGTTCATTGGTCTTCTTTACATCTTAGTCTCCATTCCCTCTAATGACAAGTCTTTATTTTCCTCCCTCAACTCCCACCACCATCCCTCAACCATGGTAAGCTTCTCTCTCTCTCTCTCTCTCTCTATATCTCTCTCTATATATATATATATATATATGTATATCTATTAGGATGCTTTTGCAAATTTACATTTAATTTTTTGGATAGTTTAACGATTGAGATGAATGAGAAAAATAGTTTAGCATGTGGTCTGGTGAATGAAAAAATAGTTTATGGTTTAGAGATTTGAAAATGAAAAGGGAAAATGAGTTTAGAGATTTGAAAATGAAAAGGGAAAATGAGTGTGAAATTAGGTGAAATTTAAATATATTTTATTCACGTTTCATTCACTTTTTTTTTCTAAATCCTCCCAACCAAAGGAGTTTGATGAATGGGGAAATCTTTGGAGAGTTTGATGAATGAGAAATATTTTTAGGAGTTTTATGAATGAGAAAAATTGTTTATCAATTGTAGATGGTTTGATGAATGTGAAAGACATTGTGATGAATGAGAAAAATCATTGAGGAGTATGATATTAAAAAATTAGTTTACACTGCACATATGATGTTTTTGATTAGTATTTCCATGTGTTCATAATATTATTTATTTATATTATTTACATGCTTTTTTTTTTTTTTTTTTTTTTTACAGTACAACATGACTATCTACAGAGATGAGCTTGAGGCAATCCTGGCCAAAACTGCTACAGAAAACAAGATTGTGATAATAGCAGTAGTAAACAAAGCCTATGTTGAAGGAGACAAGTCCATGCTTGATCTCTTCTTGGATGGTTTTTGGCTCGGGGACGATACTCGGGGCTTGAGAGATCATCTCCTAATCGTAGCCGTCGATCAGACGGCCTATGAACGGTGCATGTTTCTTAAGCTACACTGCTACAAGCTTGAAACGGACGGTGTAGATTATGATGGGGAGAAGCTGTTTATGTCAGGTGATTTTGTGAAGATGATGTGGAGGAGGACTCTGTTTCTTGGAGATGTACTCAAACGTGGCTACAACTTCATTTTCACGGTATGTTGTCTATTAACTATTAGTACTTTTATTTGTGTTTGTTGACTTTTACCATGGTTTAGAAATTTGTTTTAAACATAATTGATCAAAATCCTTAAATAATGAATGTTGTCATTCCCTAGAATAATAACATAGGATTGCCACTTCGGGCTTTGGGTAAAAAAAAAAATGGCATAGGGAGATGTAATTAATTTATTAGCAAAACTATACTATAATTAAAGATCTCGGTGCCGCTTCACTAACTTAATTGATTTGCGTGTCACAAGAAAATTTTCTAATCTTTATTTAATTTTGAGTGTGACAATCAACACTATATTAAGTTGTAATATTATTCAATTGTGAATTAAAAAAAAAAAAAACAAAAAAACCAACTAGTGTAGTTATTTTTCCGTCACATTTGTTAGTGTAGGTAAAGTAGCTAGCTATTTTCCTCCGCAGGTAAAGTTTTATGTGAGTGCACGAGTGTTAAGTATAATTTAATTATACAAATATATAATTTAGTTTATTTTTTAATCAACAGAATTTTAAAAGAATAGTGAATTTTTTTTAATTTGTAGTAGGAAGCTGAGTTCGTTTTTACTTTCTAGAGAGAGACCACGATGGAGTCCTACACGTATCACAACTATTCCACGATAACTACCACAATTAAAAAAAAAGAAAAAGAAAAAAAATCCCATAATCAACGCCTCAATGTTAGGAAGTTACGTAATGGACTTTGAAATTGCATTTGGTTCTTTATTATTTAAGAAATATAAACTATCTATTGGTTCTATTAGTTAGGTTGAAAATAATTCTTCATAAAATTATCGTTAAAAATAATTTTTTTTTTGTGATTATTTTTTGTATATGTTATTAAAAATTAACAATTAATGACTTTTTTTTGTCATAATTTTTATAAATTATCACTAAAACTTACCATTAGTAATGTTTTTCTGTGACTAATTTTTCAAACTATCACTAAAAGTTGAAAATTAATGACAATTTTTAAAACTGTCTCAAAACTTATAATTAGTGATATTTTTATGACAAAATTTCAAACTATTGTTGAAAATTAATAATTAGTAATGTTTTGTAATAGTATTTAATGAAAAATATCATTAATTTTAACAAGACTTATTAGACAATAAATTCACTTATTAGGACTAATATGTAAGTCTTCTTATTATTTACACTCATGTGGTGTGAGTTTTACATTTGCATAAATATTATGTAAAATATTTAATAATTTACATTGCTCTTTTAATAGAAGTATTATCTATAGAATTATTCATAAATAAATAAAGATTGATATTTGTACGAGTCGATGGTTCTTATAAAATAAACCTTTTAAATTATTGAGAGAGGTTGAAATGAACCGCACTGCACTGTGCAGTCCAAAATTTGACAAGCCACATCTATTAAGGCTCCGTTTGGCAAGAGCTAAACGGGATTTTTTTTGATTATTTTAACCATCAAAGACAAAATAGTCTATTTTAGCCACAAAAAATAAAATATCACATCCAACCCATAATCATTACATTCTTCTCTCACAAAAAAAGTCAAAAAAGTCAAAAAGTCCTTCCCAAACCAAACTTTTTAGCCCAGGCTAAAATAGCCAAAAAAGTCAAAAAGCTAAAAAGTCAACCCACTTCTCAAACGGAGGCTAAAATTACTTTGTTATACTATTACATCGGCTTGTTTTGAAAAGTAAATTAAAAATTAATTTTTTAGTTTTTTATTTTAAATAATTAAAAAAGTAAAAATATAATATGATTTAAAATAAATTAAAAGTCAAAAAATAACTTTTAATCAAGTTTCCAAAATAAACCGGTGTATGAAACAGTCCACATGCAGCAGTATTTATAAATCAATTTTTTAGTTTATTTGTTTAAGTTCTATTTATTTATTTGTTTTTTTTTTGGGGGGGGTACCACAGACTACAGTACACATAAACAACATCAATAGGTTTAGTTCTTAGATATTAATAGTGGGAGGGGGTCATACAAGGGTTTCAAGCTTCACTCTATATAATCAATTATACTGCATTCCATTAATATAGAATCCCTAATATATTCTTAATGACGTAAAAGAGAGAGAAAATAGGGAGAGATAGAGAGAGGAGTGTGTACCTATTTATTTACATAGTTCATTTCATATCATTAGAGGTGAATTGGTTAGTACTTCAAAATATTTTTCTTATATAATTTGAATCCACAACCTTATACCATAAAGTGGTGCTACACGAAAAATTATACAATAGTCTCATAGTATCACATAATCATACTCTCTCAGCAATCATCATTCATTATGTCATTTCATGTTTTTCAATCACTCAACATAAATAATTAATACTCTATCTTCTTTACCAATCATATTACCATGGAACAACACCATGTGACCGTACTCCCGAAATACCGAATAATCACCCGGTACTACACAATTATTATGTAAGGCTTTGATTTACTTAAAAGTTAACCTAGGTTGTTTGGTTACGATTTTAATTTATCAATTTATTTGACCAAATAAATAAATAAATAAAAAAGAAGATATTTTAAAAAAATACAATTTGTAATTTTTTGGAGTTGTATTTTTTTTAATTTTTTTTTACTTTTTTAATGCATTAGTGCTATTAGTGGTAATGTTTTTAGTGGGATGAATCATTGTTGTTTGCACAATGAATGGTTATGTGCCAACTTATTTAATCAAAAGGTTTAATTTTTTTCATAGATCATCAAAAGTTTATACTAAATAAATTTACAATTTATTTTAATATTTTAAGTTAATAATTCTAAAAACTATAATTATAAAAGTTAATTTATATATAATATCATTACAACATTGCATTTTTTTAATTGGTAAAAACTTATTTACAAATACCGGGACAATAATTATGTAAAAAAAATTTAACAACGCGTTGGCAGCACAAAACCAACATAAAAAAGTCTTGTAATGAAAAAAAAAAAATGTAATAGTAAATAGGAGAAATCTACAACATACACCCTTTAAAATGGTACATATCGTAAGAAAATTATGATTTTTTGTGATAAAAATTATGATTATTTATGATGTGTGTTATGACATTTTTTCATAAAGTTATGAATAGTGATTTTATGGTGTGCATTCTAAAGTTGGGGATGAAAATATTATGACAATTTGTGATTTTTATTATAACATTTTGTAATTTTGTTATGACGTTTTGTAATTTTTGTTATAACATTTTGTAATGAAAAAATTTATGAATTTTGTAGTGAAAAGCTATGAAATTTTGTGTTTAAATTATAAAATTTTGTAAAAAAATTATAAAAAACATACCATATGTATTTTTTTTAGGATGCATGTTGTAAACATTTCCCTAGTAAATAATCAATTTTTACCTTTGACAAATTGCCTTCTTATTCTTGAGTTGAGAATGTACTTCATTGTTATCAATTGCTTTTTTTAGTTTTTATTTATTTTTAGAATCTACGAAGGTTAATGCGTTTGGTAATTACATTTAAAAAAATAAAAAAAATAAAAAACAAAAAAAAACTGACCTTTTAAATTATTATTATTATTATTTTTTTAACTCAAGGCAAATAGATTTTTACTTTTTGACTATTGGTCTAAAAAACTTCTTTACGCTTTGTTTGGAGATATAAAATTTTAGTTAAAAAGTCAAAAAGTAAAAAAATCACTATAAATTATCACATCATTCATTATTTTTTTTGCATATCTTTTCATAAAAAATCAAAAAATTAATTAAAATAGCTAATTTTCAAACAAAGCCTTAGTCCAAGCTAAATGGAGCTTCTTGTCATTGTAAAATCATTGTATGATGTTATATGATTGTGTGCTTATAATTAATAGTTCCAAATAGGTGAAACAGGCTCAGATAAAATAACCAGAAATTTGAATGTATTTCAATTGATTAACCATGATTAAAAACAAAATTTGTTGTGTTCGAAAATGCATAAGCTGTCTTCCAACTGAATGAGGGGTTAGGCACAACAGTTACTGTTGTGCTTCAATTTGAGGGCTATTATGGACTTATTTTTATGATTCAAACCGTTCATTTTGTAGGGTTCATTGAGTACTTCAGACCTACCAAAAATAATATTAATTGGATATCAATAACTACATGATCGAATCATATTTATCATAAAAAAAATAAACAATAAGTTTTTCTTTTGAGGAATAGCATAAAAAATATGCAATCCAATCACATAGTTATTGATATCCGATTAATATAATTTTTGGTAGACATGAAGTACTCAATAAACCCTACAAAATGAACGGTTTAAATTATAAAAATAAATCCATAATAACCCTGAAATTGAGGCACAGCAGTACGAGATTTGTATTCATTTAAAAAAATGATTAAAACAGATGGTGATTTATGATCCTCACGTCTTGAGTCAACCCTCCTCGGAAGATGGGTTTCAACAAGCTGTATACATCTTGAAAGGGATGAAATTTTCTCAACTAGGTATGTGTTGCATTATAATTGAAAGGGATGAAATGTTCTCAAGTTCATTGGGTAGATTGGGTAGACGAGGTGTAAGGTTGACTTCATTGTATAGATTATTTATAAAAAATAAATAAATAAATAAATTATTGAATTCGCTTACTGTAGTAACATAATTTTATTAATTTATTTCAAAAGAAAAGAAAATAAAATAGACGATTAGTGTAGTTTTTAAAAATAGAACATTTATTTTTTTAAAAAAATAAATATGATAAAATTGATCTACAACAAATTAAGGACAAAACCTTAGGAACAAAATTACTTTTTATGAACGAAATATCTTAGCCTCCGTTTGGGAAGTGGGTTGGCTTTTTGACTTTTTGACTTTTTTACTATATGAGCCTGGGCTCAAAAGTTTAGTTTGGGAAGGGCTTTTGGCTTTTTTAATTTTTTTGTGAGAGAATAGTGTAATGATTATGGTGTTGGATGGGATGTTTTGTCTGTTGTGGCTCATGAGCCTATTCTGTCTTTTATGGCTCATTGAGCCATAAAAGCCCAATGAGCCTTTGCCAAACCAACCCTTAATTGTCAAAAGTATCATTGTTATATTTTATAAATGAAATTGGACATTTAGTAATGAATTAGTATTTTTTTGGAACCAAAATTTTGGCCTTAAAAATTTAACCTTCTAGCACAAATTGAGTTTGTCTTGTGTGTTTAGCTAAAGGTCATCATTTTATTTTTTTGGATGATCCTTTTCGATGATTGGAATTGATCTCTTAATATTTTTTATAATAAAATTTATACTTTTAGAGATAATAGAGCTTAGTATCTAAAATCCTTTTTTTTTTTTTTTTTGTTTTCTCGTGTGACTATACACAAAGGTCACAAAATAAACGATTTAGATCAATGGAATAAGAAACCTTGATAAACCCTACATACCCAACTCAATACTGCATTCCAAAATGGAGAGAAGCCTATCCCATAATGGAATTCTATGGTTTCCATGTTTAAGGATTGTGAAAAATTATATCCAATTGATTTATTGATGTTTTAATGGCAGGACACTGATGTAATATGGTTAAGAAATCCATTTCCAAGGCTCAATCCAAATGAAACTATAGACTTGCAAATCAGTACTGATGTGTTCTATGGCGATGAATGGTCCGAATCCAACAAGATCAACACCGGTTTCTACATGATTAGATCGAACAACAAGACCATTGCATTGTTTGATAATTGGTATGCAAAGAAAGACAACTCCAGTGGAATGAAAGAACAAGATGTTCTAGAGATGCTCATGCATGAAGGCGTGTTTAAAGGTTTAGGCCTCAGGGTGAGGTTCTTGGACACTCTATTTTTCAGTGGTTTTTGTCAAAAGAGCAGTGATGTTAGTGCTGTGGTAACAGTCCATGCAAATTGTTGTCGTAGTATAAGTGCCAAATTGACTGATCTGATGGATGTTATTCATCATTGGAAGACATTCAAGAACTTGCCTACAAATGAGACATTGACAATTGAATGGTCAAAGCATTTAGCTTGTATAAATTCCTGGAAATTTTGAGTATATTTAGTTTTGCTTGAATTGTGGGATCTTGAAATCTTTTATTTTTTAATTTTTGTTGTGGGAGGGGGTGGCTGGTCAGAACTATAAAAATGTAGAGAATATATATATTTTTTTTCTAGTCAATTAAATAATTCCAATGTTAATCTTCATTTTTTACTAGTTAAAGTATGAAAATGGTATGTTCTTTATTTTGTTTAACTAATTTTTCATCTACGCTACTCTTTATTTTACAAATTATCCATACAAGCTAATTTAAAGAGCCTCCTCATGTTCTCCAAATATAGCTAGCTTACAAGAATCTTGTTAAAATAGTTATCGTGCTAGTTAACTTGTTGGAGTGAATAATATAGTATGAAACTAACCATAGTAGTTAACATTTCCTTGGTGTTTCCATGGATGAATCTATAGGATGGACCTCCGATTCCTTGTGAACTCAGCATACGCTGTACTTGAATTGGAGTCCACCATAGTTTGTGAAAGATGGAAGGAGGTTGAAAGCTAGTGTTGAGAAAGCATGGAGATCAAGGCTACAGGAACAAAGGAATGGTTAGTGACATACACACGGTGTTTGTGGGCAATCTACCAGAAACTATGGATCCAAAAGGGCTGTACAAAGTATTTACCAACTTTGGGATTGTAAAGGATGTGTTCATCCCAAACAAAAGATGGAAGATGAAGCGATCCATATTTGGTTTTGTACGTTATGCTTGTCCAGTGGTAGCAAATATGGCCGTCCAGAAAGCACATGGCCTCTGGTGTGATAACAGAGCATTGAAAGTAAGAGTCGCAGATTTTGGCAAAGATCAGGGCAAACAACGGTGGCCACTTAAAGCACCAATTAGAGGGAGGCAGATTGGTAACACCAGCAGAATATCGGTTGGTTGGAGAGAGGTTGGTAACACAAGTAGACCTCCAGTTATGGTATAGAAAGGGAGGTCCTACGCACAAATTGTAAGTGGAAAAGGGATAGCGTCCAATACGAGCATTACTGTTAATGCTTCTGAGGCAGGCAATGGTTGGTTATATACTAGTACAATTGTTAGACTCAAGCCACTAAGCTGTGTGGCAACATTTAAAGAGGAGTTACAGATCAGAGGTATGGGAGACATTCAGGCTAGAGACGGAGGAGGCAGAGATATAGTGGTGACTTTCGAATCTGTAGAAAGCATGAAAGAGAACTTAAAACTAATGGAGAAATGGATTCATGAGTGGTGTGAATTAATCAAGGAATGGAAGCAGGGGATGGCTATTGAACAGGAAAGGCTTGTTTGGCTTACATGTTATGGTGTGCCTCTAAATCTATGGAGCAGTAAAACTTTCATGAATATTCGGGAGTTGTGGGGGGAAGCCATTGGCATAGATGATGATACATCCAGAATGCATTCACTTCACAGTTGAAAGGTAAGGATAACAACAACATGTATGGAGTCCATTAATAAGACTATCAACTTGCTATGCAAGGGGGATAAATTATCCAGTAAAAGTGTGTGAAGAACAGGCGGTTATATCAGAGGTGATACACAAACAGTGCAAATGTTACAATCTGCAGAATAAGGGGGTCAATCAAAGCTCCAATTGTGATGGGAAAGCATGGAGGTCAGAAGTGAAAAGCAAGAGGGTTGATGATGAAACTGATGTGGACGGCTAGGTAGGAGGTGAGCTGGACAAAGGAGGTGATGTAGAGCTAGCAGGGTATGTAACAGGGCATGTGGGTCATCATGACACAGCTGGACAAGATAGGTGGAGGAGTATGTCTATGGTTGTAGAGACTGACATCAATATGGGAAAGACAAATAGTGGGGGCGTATGCAAGGGAAGGTCAACTGTGTCAGTGCTAAACTCTATGCAAATTCAAAATGGAGGCAAACGAATAGTTGAGGATGATGTAGTAGTTAATCCAGGCTTCATGAAAAGCCTAAGTGGGTCTGAGAGACATAGATCTGGGCTTAATATAGAAGTATTGTTAGGTAAGGCCCAAGATGAGGGCGGAAACATTTTGGGGCCGAGATTGTCTGAGGTTAGTGTATCAGACACTCGGCCCACTAAGGAAAATTTTGTTCATAGCAATGGAGAGGAGGTAGCCCAATGAAGAATTGAAAATGAGGCAAACAGGGTGGTTAACAACAAACCTGTGATTACAGTTCCTAAAGGGTAGTGAGCAAGAAGGAAAAAGGAAAAGGGGCTGTGAAGTTTCCGGGGACGAAAAGAGGAAACCTCCAATTTGGGGGTGGATCAGCTTTGAACTTGAAGAAAGGAGTTGTGTTCCGGTTAGCTTTTGCAGCAATTTCTCTACCTATGGCAAGCAAAGCTAGAAGTGGTCAGCTAGTACTCAATGAGGCAGAAGCATCTCTACAATTAGGGTAGGTCCTTGGGTTGAATGTAATGGCAATGAAGAAGAAATGATCAGTAAGCTGCTGGAGCTGGAATCTCATGATTAGGAAAAAGTGTTGAAAATGGTGAAAATGGGTGATACTGCATATTAATTTGGATTACCTGGTGATTGGGAAAACAAATTGGTTTTCAATGAAATTATTATCATAGAATATAAGAGGGCTTGGTAAGCCTAGTAAAAGAAGAAAGGTCAAAACAATATTTTTTGAAAGGAAGGTAGATATGGTGCTACTTCAAGAAACAAAAAGTCCATCAATAGATGAAGAGTTTGTCAGATCATGTTGGCCGGGAGAGAAGATGGAGTTCATGACAGCAGATTCAGATGGAGCAGGTGGTGGATTGCTTTGCATCTGGAATCCAGATGTTTTTCAACTTGTGGACTGCTGCTGCAACAGGAATTGCATCATTTTGTTAGGTACTTTTTATTGTAACTTTGAATGTGTCATTGTTAATATTTATGGTCCAAATGATGATACCAGCAGAAGAAGGGTATGCGGTATATTGAATAGACTGAAGTCAGCAGATGAAAAGCCTTGGTGTTTGGGAGGTGATTTCAATGAAGTTAGAAGTATATCCGAGATGAAGGGTTGTGCTAGAAGAGATAGAGGTATGTGTGATTTCAATGAACTAATTGAAAATCTGGAAGTGTGTGATATACCAATGTTGGGAAGAAAATTTACTTGGTGTAACTCTCAAGAAGGAGAAAAATGGAGTAGGATTGATAGGTTTTTGCTTAGTCCAGAATGGCTGTAGAAGTTCAATTTTAAATAATGAGGTTTACCAAGAAGGCTTTCTGATCACTGCCCTATTTTGCTCATGGAAAATGCGAGGGATAGGGGTCCAAAGCCTTTTAGATTTCTGAATGCATGGACCCTTCATCCTCAATTCAAAACCTTTGTGGAGAAAATTTGGAATGAAACTAAGGTTGAAGGTTGGGCTGGCTTTCAGTGTCTAAGGAAACTAAAATCACTTAGACTAGCATTGAAACAATGGAATAAGGAAGTTTTTGGTAATGTGAATTATAAACTTAAGCTTCTTGAGGAGGAATTACATGTGTTTTATTTGGTAGCTGAAGAAAGGCCTTTGTCTGAGGTAGAAGTGAATAGAAGAAGGGAGGCTAAAGAGGAAGCATGGAAACTGAGGAAAATGGTGGAATGGGTTTGGATGCAGAAGTCTAGAATTAATTGGGTCTTGCAAAGGGATAGAAACACAAAATTCTTCCATGTGATGGTTGTATCTAGAAATAATCAGAATGCATTATGTTCAATTACTGTTAATGGGGTTGTCAAGGAAGATCCAAATGAAATAAGGGCTGAAGTTCTGCAACACTACATGAAGCTTTTTTCTAAATCATGGTTCAACAGACCAAGTTTATCTGGTCATTTTAAATCCATTTGGGAGGGGGGGGGGATGAAGTTAGAGCTGAATTAGAAGCTGAGTTTTTCAAAATCAGAAGTGCAAGTAGCAGTTAAAAACTGTGACGGGAATAAGGCTTCAGGCCTTGATGGTTTTAACTTGATGATATTTCATAAGTGTTGGCAGTCAATAAAAGGGGATGTGATGCAGTTGATGAAGGAGTTTCATCAAAACTCTAAATCGGTGCATTGAATTAATAGTTTTTTTGTTGCTTCGATTCCTAAAAATGATAATCCTTCTTGCCTCCTGCCTCAGTGAGTATAGAACTATTAGCCTCATAGGTTCACTTTACAAAATTCTTGCAAAAGTATTAGCTAATCAAATCAAACACATACTGTCAAGGATTATTACTGAATCTCAATTAGCTTTTATAGGGGGAAGAAGTATTTTGGATGGAGTGTTGATTGCTAATGAAATTATTGATGGTTGGAAGAAGAATCAGAAGAAATGAATTGTGTTAAAGCTTGATTTTGAGAAATCATATGATTCAATTAATTGGAAGTTTCTTTTCTCTATGTTCTCAAATTTTGGGTTTGGTTCCAAATGGATTAATTGGATGCAAGAAAGTGTCTCATTAGCCAAAATATCCATTTTGGTTAATGGATCATCGTCGTCTAAATTTAGCGCACAGAGAGGGCTTAAACAAGGTGATCCATTATCATCTTTTCTATTTAATTTGGTAGATGAGGGCTTACACATCCTGCTGACCAGAGCTAGGCAGATGGGTTTGATTAATAAGGCAGTTGTTGGTTCACATGATATAAACATTACTCATTTGCAGTTTGCAGATGACACAATATTATTCTGTGAAGCAGATAGAGAGAAGGTATTTACTGTTAAAAGGATCTTGAGGTGTTTTGAAATATGTGTAGGCAGGATCAATTATCACAAGAGTGTAGTTTGTGGGATTGGGATTAATGATGAGCTTTATAAAGAATTTGTTGCCATTTTGAACTGTTTACATCATAGTTTGCGATTAAAATATTTGGGTATTTCCTTCAGAGAAAATCCAAGGAGAAGAAGGACTTGGAAACCTAATAGATAAATTTAAGCAGAAATTGGCTTCTTGGAAAAGGAGGTTCTTATCCTTTGCTGGTAGGTTGACAATGATAAAGTCTGTGTTATCATCCTTGCCTATCTATTACCTATCTTTGTTCAAGATGCCTAAAGGGGTTGCTAAAGAGATAGAGAAAATTCAGTCCAAATTTTATGGGGAAGGTGATGCACTAAGAAGGAAAATTCATCTAGTAAGATGGGGGGAAATAACACAAAGCATAAACAATAAGGGATTAAGAATAAGGAAAATGAGACACATGAATGATTGTTTTCTTTTGAAGTGGTG